TAACCATTTTGACACAATCAAAACTACTAATCAAACACCTGCATTAAGAGAGAATAACTTGCTCATTTTCCTAACTCTGCGGCTAGTAAAAAATAGTAAACTTAACTAATAATTTATATTTTAATATTTACATATATTTGGCTGAAAAAATAAAAGAGATATACGACTCTGGTCGCACTGCATACTAATCGTGCAAATTTTTTTTCAATGTGTAAATTAACGCAAGAAATGTGTCAATTAGAAAATGCGTGAGTTAAAAAAAAAATTTCAATGCGTGAATTGGAAAATTTTTTTCAATGGGTGATTTAGAAACTTAGCATGCCATGAGAGATATTTTCTATTCCAAGTTTTCACAGATTTTTTAATAATTTTTTAGTAATTCTATTCTTGGTGTAATTGCAACCCGTAAGCGAAATCTCTGGTTGGTTAGTTATACCATTTAAAAAAAAAGAATTATTGTAAATAGAATGCAAGAAAAATTAAAGGATGAAATACTTGAAAAAATGGAATTCATGTGATTTTAACAAAATAAGATATATTAAATTGCGAAATTTGAAATCTAAGTGAACAAATTTAATTAGTTAAAATCATTTCATAATCACGTAAGTATTAGTTAAAAGTTTTACCAAGCATAACACAAAAATTAAAGGTGCCAAACTTTTTAAATTCTTAATTTAGTAATAATTCTAATAATAATTCTTAATAAATTCTGATTTAGTAATAACATGAAACACTGCGCGAAGCGCAAACGATACTGCGTACTTCAGACAGGGTGCGTAGCCAAATTATTCAACAAAAAATAAGCACCTTTTAAGCACTTTTCAAGCACTCAAAAAATATTTTTAAGCACTTCAAAAAAATATCATTAATTAGGCAGGGTTGGAAAGTTTTTGACAATTGACAGTTTTAGCTTGTTTTAACCGTCATGTAAAAAAAAAGGCATTGTGGCAATTGTCAAAAATCATGAAATTTTGAATCGTGTAAAACGAATGGCATTTTCATACGCTACGGACTGACAATACGCGGAAATAGATTGGGATTTGAATTAATTGAGAAAACATTGAATAGAACAATGTAAGCAGTGAACTCATAGCGAAAATCAACAAGGTAAAGGAAAAATCCCATTTTCAGGGGTAATTGTGAGCTCACGTCAAAATTCCGGAAAATTTCCAGAGTTAAAAAAGAAAAAACAGTTTAAATTGAAAAAAATTTAAACAAGATTTTTTTCTTCCTTTTTTCTCAATATTTCTTACTTAAAACATGTTTACACATACCTATAATGACCTGGAGAAGTAATTAAAATTTACAAATATGTCTTTCTTTCTTCAGTTTATGATTATAATAACTATTTACTGTTAAAAAATGAATATTAATCATGAATACAAGCTTATAAAGTATCTGGCTCTCCATTACAAACAAATAAAATGAACTGTGTTTTTAAGTTCCACCTTTGAAAATTTGATTTCCGGAATTTTCTGTGATCAATGATTTTTGGAAACGTCTTTCGATCTCCGGAAACTTCCGGATAACCGATAGCGAAAAATCCGGATTTTTTCCGGTGCACTATCAGCCCTGCATTTTAAAAAAGGAAAAATGAAGCACTTTTTAACAACACCCAATGAAAAAAGCACCTTTAAGGGCCCTTTAAAATACGAAAATAAGCACCTTTAAGCACTTTTTAAAAGCGCTAAGCACCCTGTTTCATTCTTAAAATACATTATTAAATAAAATTACGCAAATGCTTTATGTTTATTTTTAGCTTTCCCCAATTATTTCTATGTAACAACTCATAATAAGAAAAAGCACTTACCTTAGATGACTATGAAACTAAATACAGACAACAAGGCTAGTGAATGCAAAAACAATGAATGCAAGAGAGAGAGAAATCCAAGCTATATAATGAATGATGTATATTTAGTGATTATGAGCAACAAACATTTTGGGGGGGTCTAAGGCTGCTTTAGAAAACGACAAGACACCAGCCGCAGTGATAGCATTCGCACCTCTTGTTGAAATTCTTCACAGCTAGTTGTGGCTAATCTGCCACAACTTGACAAAAGGCAACTTTAAAGGCTGCCTCTTCTACTCTCCTCCTCCCCCTGACACTTAACTGCAAAGGTAGTGAAACTGAAACACAATAAAAAAAAAAAGACTGTTAGAACATCATTCAAAAGCTCTTAATGGTTAGAAAAAAGTATTGTGGGAAAGGTAGATATCGACAATGTCAACCTTCATCCATGACCCCAGCATAGAATCGAGTTAACATGTCTTATATACTAGTGAATTCGAATTATATTTTTGTAGTGGTAGATACGCTACAGAACAGATACCACTAGTTGATTCTCTGCTGTTTCGCGGGAAGCCGGGAGAGCAGTATTAAGTCTCCCTCACCAGAATTTTAGCTGTAGAAGACATGTGTTGAACATGGAATTATGTTAACTTGATTCTATGAAAGGCAGTGTTTTCACTACAGCGCGAGCTCAATTAATAAATTTCAAAATGCGCGAATTTTGGAAAAAATTTCGTCTTTTGCCATTTTGAATAAAATCTGTTTCACTTTTCTTCCTTGATCTTTCATTATTTTGAACATCGGTCCTTGTTATCTAGCTTCCCTATTTACCAGTATTGTTTAGAACCTGTGCGAACACCACCCCCTCGAACCATATTTTTTGCTTGAACCACAGAACTCCTTTCAGAACACATTTCTCTGCAACCATGTGTTCACCGTAGGTAAAGTTTCTTCACATAAGACATTTGCATTTTTTGTGCATGAATGTAAGATGGAGAAATACCTTGTTAAGGCGACATCTTCTCTGTAACGGACAAATGAAAATGAAACAAATGTCGGCAGAAACGGTCAAAACGAAACAAATACGGATATTTTTCAACCAAATAAATATAATAGCTGATGAAAAATTAGATATAGAACATTTTCTATATGATGATGTAGTAAAAATATTTAATTAGAAGATGTTAAAAATGTATTATAATTAAAGAAATAATTTTTTTTAAGTCAATTCATGTCTTTTTAATTTTTAGAAATCTCACTTAACTTTTTGAAATCTCACCCTGTTTTTGAGAAAGGGTGAGAAATTCTCTTCCATTTTTTTCTGTAATGAAAACACTGGAAGGGGTACCTTTTCATAGATGAAGGTTGACACAGTAGAATGCTTTGGACGTGACGTGAACATGCCTACCTTGACCGAAACTCCTACTTTGATACGAACACAGCTTCCTCGACAGTAACGCCCACTTCGATCTGAACACGCCTACTTCGATGGATGGTCGCNATAAACAGAATCCCAGACCCGTGGGTCACCCACCCGCACACTGACCGCAGCCAGTGATGCTTGACTTCGGTGATCTGATGAGAACCGTGTCTTGACGATCAGTCCACTGCGGGACAACATTTTAATTTACTAGAACAATAAATTTATGGGAACCCTGAGCTTGTTTCTTTGCAATGAGATGGTTCCATCTGGGGGTAATCGTTTTAAAACGTTAAAAAATTTATGTCACTACCTTCGGAAGCCCTTTTTTTAAATAAATAAAATAATGGAACACAAATATTTTTAATTTTTGGTATAAACCTAGGAATTTAAATTCAGTTTCAATGAAATGTGCGGCCCGGTACCATTTGATCCACGGACCGGTATCGGTCCGCGGACCGGGGGTTGGGGAACACTGCTATAGCCTACGTCACAGGTTGTGTTATTCCTACTAAATTTAACCCATGAACGGCATTTTCTGCGAGCCTAACTTCAAGACACAAATAAGCAAACGAAGTGTTTGATCGTTTAAATAGCTGCTCGCCAGATTTTATTGCATTATAAAGAAAAGTAATTGATATTCGATTTTTGATTAATAATTGATTTATGTGGATAGTGGCATTTATGTGGATAGTGGCATAGAATTTAGCATTGCATCATGGTAAATGTTATTCCTACTAAGTGGAAGTAGTTGTGTTTTTTTTAATATTATACCCAATTGTTAACATTTCTTATAGGATTGAAAGTCATTTAATTCAACAGCTCCTTCAATTCCAAATAATTTTAATAGAATTATACTGAGCAAAATAAAAAATAATAAAAGAACAAAAAACTGTTTTACTTAGAATTTATAATTTCTTTTACTGCAGTACAGAACTCGTCACCCGGAAATCAGAAAACCGGAATACCAAAAACCCGTAAAGAAATTCGATAAATTTTCCCACCATTTAAAAAAAAAAGAAGATTTTTCTTTCTTTTTTGAAAAAAGTTTACCTTACCATCATTTTGAAAATAATCATTAGTGTATTACTTCATTGTTTTCTCTTCTTTTTAAGATTATTTCCAAATATTTCTTCTTTTTATAGTTGGGTTTAACAATAAAAAAACGGCTTTTTGTAGCAATTCAGAAAACCGGAAAAATGAGTTATCCGGTTACACGACTCGTGAGTTATAAATTGCGCATTTAATCAATAACTTTTTATTGCACTTAATTTGTGCTGTTTGCACTGTTAATCCAAGTAGTTTTCCAATCATTTTTTCAGAAGTTTCTGCGATGCTTTTTTGCAGTTAAAAAAATTCTGATTTTAGTTACAACCTGCGAATTTTAATTACTTATTGGCACAGTTTACTCCTGCTAATTTCATCATAAATTGAATAATTTTTTTTTTTTTGTTGCAATTATTGCGATGCTTTTTTTTGTGATTTCTAGGAAACCCGTTACTTTAACTACGATGTTAATATGACGCACTAATTTCTAATCATGAATTTAAATAATCACTATTTGATACAAATTATCTGCGCATATTTCATCATAAATATAAGTTTTTTTCTCCATCATTTTGGTAGTTGGCAACATGCATTTGTGTGAGGTATTTAAAATCCCGATATCTTAATATGTTATTACACCCTGATGTTATTGCATTGTAGAATATGTTATTGCACCCTGATGTTATTGCATTGTATAATATGTTATTGCACCCTGAAAAATTTGAAAACTTGAGGAAAATGTGAGTTTTTAAACAGCTTACTGTTTGGAATTTATTTTGTTTTAAATTCCTTTTAGCTTAGGTGGGTTTTTTTAGGAATAAACCAATAGGAAAAGGTTTTCTTAATTCTTAAGTAATTCTTAAAATCTTTAATAATTCCAGAAATAGAATTATCTGAAAAAATATTGAATTTTATACTATAATGAATGTGTTTTAATTTTTGCTTTTTGCTCAAAAATAATATGTACATATATACATTTGTATGTTTTATAAAATACACACACATATATATCAGTGTTTTCATTACAGCGTGAGAGCCTCACATATTTTTTTCTTTTCTCGCATTAAAAAATTATTACCGCGAGAAATTCAAGCATTCTATAAATCAATTTCAAAATTCGTGAATTTATCGCATTACGCCATTTAGAATAAAATCCATTTCACTTTTCTTCCTGGATCTTTCATTATTTTCAACATCTGCCCCGTTATCTAGCTTCCCTATTTACCAGTATTGTTCAAAATCTTTTCGAACAGAACACATTTCTCTGCTACCACGTGTTTACCGTAGGTAAGGTTTCTTCATGTAAGACGTTCTGTTCAAATTTTTTATGCACTAATGTCAGATGGACAAATACCTTGTAAAGGCAAAATCTTCTATGATGATGCACCAAAAATATTCAATGCTTTAAAAAATAGAAGACATTAAAAATGTATTATAATTAAAGGAATGATTTTTCTTTTCAAGAGTTAGTGTTATTTTAGTTTTTAAAAATCTCACTTAACTTTTTGAAATCTCACCCTATTTTTAAGAAAGGGTGAGAAATTCTCACCCATTTTTTTTCTATGATGAAAACATTGTATATATATGTATGTGTATTTCTTTTCTTTTTGAATAAATTAATTATTGTGAAAAATTAAAAAAAGATTTTTAAAAAAAAGCATGATGATTATCTATAAGTTTGTTAAGAATTCTTCGTTATAAAGCAATTGTTTTGTGTGCCATTTTTACTGCATTAAATATCATTAAAGTAAACATTTAATGATAAATAATTCTTATTAAGTGTTTTTGTAACTTGATTTGAAAAAGTTATCAGATAATCAGTGATTCTAAAAATTTAAAATATGCCAATTTATCAGAAAGTTTCAGTGATGAAAATTATATTCTCTCGAGTTAATATAATTTGATTTTAATATTTTGAAATTAAAAGTAAACCTGCAATCAAATTGTTTAAACTTTGTTTGCACAGTAATTTTTTTTAATAACTTTTCACCGTCCCTGGCTCCTTAGTCACCTCCACAACAGAAATTTAAAAAAATAACTTACACTATACCCGTATATTTATTTTCTGCAGTAAGAAAAATTTTAATCATATTTCAGCAGTTTTCCCGAGGGAAGATTTCTGTATCGTGATCTGTGGCAAAATAATCGCAAAGTCATGACAACTTCCGGGCAGCTGCCCGAGAGAAAAGAAAATTTAAAAAAAAAAAAACATCACAGAAAGGGACAACTTAAAAGGTATAACTCATAGTCACCCTAGTCAAACATCTACATGTTTTTATTTAATTATTTTTTTTTTTAAAAAATTGCGAGCTTAAAATCTTTTTGGCACCTTGGTGATTTAGTGGGGACAACAGATCACGATATGGAAATATTGCTTTAAGAAAAACCCGTGACTTAAGAGGTTATAGTTAAAAAAATACACTACTGTAGGCTTTTGTTAAATTTAAATGTTAATAAATAAATATACCATACTTTATTAATATTATTCTATTGTACATTTAAAATCCGTAGCATCATCTACAAATAAATAATTCTAAACATCGTTCATCAAAATATTCCTCTCGGATAATTGCACACAGAAATCTGATATTTCACGAACGTTTAAAAGTATACTAACTAGTTAAAAATTAAAAAACAAACAAGATATTACGGCAGGAATAGCTATCAGAGTATTTCTCAATGCTGTACAAAACACAAAACTAAATTCCGTGAATTTTTTTAAAATTTACTTTAGTTTTTATGAGATTGCATTAAATTAGAATCCAATATCAACACCATATACCGCACCTATATTTTTCAAGTAATATATACTAGCATAGGGCGCGAAAAATATATGAATACTTCAGAATATCATAAACTGATGATAGCCGATATAATTTGAGAAGAATATCCATAAATTTAATGAGAAGAAAATACAGATTACATCAATAGTAAATAAACAAAACTATGTGCGATAGCTAAAAAAAAGAAAACAACCGGAGAAATCGAAACTACCTTTAATTAGTTTTCAAATAGAAAATTATCTTAAACTTGACGACAGCAATTTATAAATAAATTTATATTACATAAGAAATACTTACGGCACTACGGTCTTGTTTCAAATATTTCAAAAACTTCAGCACTACTATTACGCCTAAAAATTCCTATTTTAGCAACAAATATGGCTGGCAGAAAATAGAAGTGAAAAAAAGTTTTCGATTCCGCTCAGTGCACAAAAAAACGATTCGATATATAACAGATATCGATGACAAATTGATCACCTTGAAATATTTTCCCTGTAAGCTAAAAGCCAAAGTTAATATCTGATATAATCTTTGAACGTTGTGGTGTCATTCAAATATTGCATCTGAAGAAAACATCAAATACCCCTCGATTGATCTAGTTGTTTTCATTGTTTTGTAGCTGAGGTGATCGTATATATGCACGAGTATGTATATTGAAAACGAAAATAATTCGACCATGATGGAATTGGCCGTAAATGAGGAAGAGGATGAAGAAAGTAGATCCAGAATGAAAGAACGCATTTTGGATTGTGTTGCTCATAGTAATGGATTTTTTAAAAGTCAACAGATTGGCGACAGTGACTTAACGTTTGCTGAAAAGCGCGAGATTGCCAGTGATGTGTTACATCACAACATGCCTCTGTTTTTGCAGCGTTATTGGAAATACGTTAATGTTGAAGATATTGATTACTTTAATTCGTATCAGGATTATGAAGCTAAATTTTATATTCAGGAAATTCTGAGCAATAACAACGTTCGTTCTAGCAAAGCTCGTATCAGAAATCGGCGATATGAAGCACTCAAAAAATTAGTTGATGAGAGTTCCTATTTCAGTGATGCTGAAATGAAAAAGCGTAATCCGTTTTTGTACGAGCAACTTATTGGACAGTATCTAACAGAAAATGAAAGAATAAAAGAATACAGGAAATTGCACGAAAATGATAGGTAACTTCCAGAGCCGAATTACGCTTACGAGGGGCCCTAGGCCATTAAAAATTTTGGGGCCCTTAAATTAGAAATGTTTTTCTTGTATATTTTTTATTTATTCAAATATAAAAGTATTTATATATCTTTTCATTTAAGAAAGCATATTTAAAATAAAATAAGTATGATTAACATAATAATAAATATGATTAACGTTATATAATAAAAATTATCGTATTTTATTAATATATATTTGAAATTGATTTTTAAAAAAAAATCATTATTTGTCTTAATTTTTTAAAATTTATTTTCAAAAAATCCATTTTAGGGGGGCCCTTAATCATTGGGGGCCCCAGGCCATGGCCTAATGGGTAATCCAGCCCTGTATTATAATATAATGCTTGATATAATAAATATTCTACATTTATATAATATATCACATTTATGTAACTTCAGTTGGAATATTCTATTGTAAAGTATCTTACATTTGTTATTTCTAGTTTTAAAAAAATACTGCCTTTTTTTTTCTTTCTCAAATGTCAATGATTTAAATCGATTGATTAAAATTGATGATTTTTATCANATCACATTTATATAACTTCAGTTGGAACATTTTATCGTAAAGTATCTTACATTTGTTATTTCTAGTTTTAAAAAAATACTGCCTTTTTTTTTTTCCTCTCTCAAATGTCAATGATTTAAATCGATTGATTAAAATTGATGATTTTTATCACTGCATTTAAACAAAATAAAAATCATTGGTTTAAATTAATTAAGTACGGAAATGATTTTGAAAATTTATCTATCCTTTTATGAGATACGAATAAGTAATAAAATAGCATTAAATTTTACATTTTTATAACCAACAAAAACTTATTTATAAGTTTCTGAAATGAGTTTATAACTTTTTATTGAAAAAAAGTTACACCTTTTTTTTAGAAATACAAGGAAAAGTGATAAAAGTTTATTCGTAAATGATATTGTACTGAATTTATCATTCCTGTATGTTATATTTGTCATACAATAATGGTAATCAATAGATACAGATATAGTATGATGGCTTTGAATTTAAAAAAAAAAAAAAAAATTCCTTACCTTTACTGAAATCTATCATTTTATTTATGTTAATGGATTTGACTTAAATAATGATTTTTCACCATAACAATGGATACAAATAGAGAAAGGCCTCGAATTATTCCGATGAAGTCTGAATGCGTTATGTAATTTTCTATTCTAATAACGAAGCCCTGCAAAAATGAAAAAAAATGTCAGTCTTGACACTATTTTTGATGACTCTTGTATAAAGTTACTCTTTTTTTTTTTTCTACTGTAGGCTCCCCTTTAATATTTCATCACTTTTCAATCATTTATTGGCCATGAATTTGATTTTAGGGTGTAAGACTTTATTACTAAGTAAAAATGAAATAAAATGCCTTTTACAGCTGAAAAATTAGAACTATTTTTTTTTTCATTGAAAAAAATCCTGAAATTATTTGATTTCTCTTTGGGACATCATTATTGGCACTCCATTATAAACCTTAACAACTCCCAAGAACTGAATTTGTAAAATTTTTACTTGATTTATGAGGGACATGATTATGTTGAATATCCACATGCCAAATTGACAAATTAAACATTATTATCTCCAAAATAAATGCATAATATTTAATGAACTTTTGTAGTTCCATAAATATATGTAGTATAAAAAGCTTCAAATAATCTTTTCATGTTATTCTTTTATCTAAATATTTTTCTCATTTCATTATTCTAAACTAAATGCTCTTTCTGACACTTTAATATTCACATCCTGTGCTTTCTTTTTCTGCCTTTATCAAGGTTTGCTTTTTGCCGGTAGAAACTGGTTTTTGCCATGCCAGTGGCAGAAACTGGTTATAACTGGTGAAAACTGGCAGAAACTAAAAAAACGTCTATATCAGTTCTAGTAATTGCTTAGTGACATTTTGTTTAAGTAAACTGAAAAATGTAACTGTAACAAATTTTTTAATTCATTGTTTGTAAATATATATTATTTTGTTTACATTAAATATAAAGAGTGCAGTATATCAAATATTTATATAAAATAAAGTAATGTAATAATAAATATAAATACTAGACTTTAGTTAATTATATTAAACTCTGAAATTCAGTAATTATTATCATTTAACTCTTAACATAACTGAGTAGAGCTATTTTCAAATAGTTTTTTTCAAGACATAATTTGCGTGGCAACTATCGAATTATTATAATTGTAACTTGAGAGAATCTTCTCAAATTTCTCGTTCGTACATAGCAAATTGAGAAATTGTTTAGGTTTAGAAACTGAATCAAAACTTGTGTTTTGTTATGGATTATTGCACAGTGCAAACAATGTAATATTTTATTTTGAATGGTGATAATTTTGTAAATAAATTGTACTTTGTTTAACATTTACTTGTTTTTTCTATGAATTATCCATTGTATGTCAATCTCAGTACTTACTTTTATGTCAGTTTCTGAATTTCTGCCACAAATGTGGCAGAAAAGGGTTCCTGCCATGCAAAGTTTCTACCAGTGGTTTTAACCACCTCGGCAGAAACTTGCCAACCTTGGTTTTTATCAGGATGCTTTATCCTTATAAAAACTGATCAGGCAATTATTTAAATCATTCGAATTTAGAGAATAACTTTTGTTTTATGTTCTATCCACCATCTATGCCAGTCTCTAATCCAGCTCATGTAGAGAGTCATACAAGGTTAGTTTCTATCTTGATTTCCAAATAGATTAGAATCTTTTAAGTTAGGAATCTTTTAATATGGAACTAAAAACTACATGGAACGTAGTTCTGAAAAAAAAAATTTAAAACATCATGGAACTTTTAGAAAATACTTTTCACAATTAACATGCAAAAAATATTTCGAATTATCATAAAATTAAAATCTAAGAAATATTTAAATAAATGGAAACAAAGCAATTTTTAAATTCTTAGTATTTAATTGAAAAATATATTGTATTTAACGAAGATTTACTTACATTAGATGATCAGGGCACACTTATTGTATTAAACCAAGTTACAATATGTTACTGCATCAAGTTAATTGTACTTTAAAATAATTGTTGTCTAATGTTTTTTGTCATAAAACACAGGTTTTTTGTCTGAAAACACAAAATAAAGTTTTAATTATATACATCCTTTTTCTTTTGAGCAGGTTTTCAAATTTTCTGATGGGACAGTTTGAAAGAAATGTAGAGAACCGTCTGTATGATGAACAGAAGGAAGAAGATGACGCTGAAGAAGAAGATGATGATGATACAGAGGAATCAGAAAATGAATCTGGTTAATAAATTTATAATTATATGTAATGTAATTATTATAAAGATTTAATGTGTTATGTTCTATCATTATCTATCTTTTGATACCACCACAAACCACATTAAGCTATCTTTATTTTAATTTATTTTGGACTAAGGATGCTTTCAACTTTTGTCTTTCTCCCTTTGTATCTATTCTTCTGTTAATGTTTACTTTTCTCCTATTAGTGTTTTTTTTTAATGAACACTGTACTTATAAATGATTTATTATCACACATAGGGTAAAACTAACTCTTACAGCCTGCCACAGTGACTAAATGTTGCAAATAGTGATCGAAAAATTGTTTATCAATCACTACCTGATCCCTTCTTTTATCTTCAAAGATGCCCCCCATATGCAGTTTAAATTTTTTCTTTATAAATTTTGAGTTTTTAGAAATACTTTGCATTATAAATTATTCTATGCTAGTATCTTAAAATTTTTCTTTGATTTAGAAATTTACCTTATAATAGAATGTATTTTGATAAAAGCTTTATTAGTATCAACATTAAGCAATATTTTTAAATTGTTTAAAAGTTTCAATATTTGAAAACAGTTGCCACTTGTTTGACAACTGTCAAAAATGCTAGAACTGGCTAGTAGCGTAATAGTCTTTATTGATTTATGCCTTAAAAGGAAATTTTTTGAATGAGTTTTGCTGTAATCATTATTACTTACTTGGATATTCAAATAAGTATTACTAATATGTAATAAACCAAGTCTCATTTGTAGAAATAAATTTAAATTTTTTTTTTTTTGGTTCTAAAGTATTCAGTTTATTTTTATTCAGAACTCGCTTTTTGAATTAACTAAAAAAAATTAGGAAACAAATTAGGAAAGTTTGATTTGAATTTTTTTTAGAAACAAAATTATTCCTAAAAAATTATTAATACAGAGTCTGCTCTTTTTGTATGATACCTCCCCATTAACTCTTTAAATACCGAGCCCTCCAAACCACAACATGCCCAGAATACCGCAAACGCCCGAAGTAGGGAAACAAGTAGCAAAAATTTCCTACCCCCAGTTTTACTCTGCATTGACAGAATGACTGATCATCTCTTTATTCACCTGTGGAAATATCCCCAAAATAGGAGTTCAAAGGGAAGAAAGACATAATTTGAAGCAAGAATATCGCTAACGTAACGAGATTTATAAAATATTAATAAATGCTTGCATTTGTTTTTGGTTTTCATTTTTTTTTTAATATTATTATTTATATTGAAGCATAAGTATGTAATTCCATGTAATCCAGTTATACAAAATCTAAATAAAACATTTAAATTGATAATAATATTCTCGCACAAAGAAAATCCTTTTTTTTTCGTTGTAAAACAGAAACTAATATAATTCAATAACTTAAATGATTGAAAAATAAATTTTAAATTTCTTAGACACCAGCATTTAAAATTAACATCAGTCATTAAGGAGAAATTAATTTGGTGATAGTACTAAAATATTATTCTACCTAAATGTGTGTCTTATTTTATATCAATTTACAATATGAAATAAGAGAAACTTTTCTTATTATTTAACAAGGCTCTGAAACCATTAAAAATATTATCCCCAGAAACTATAATTCCTCCTCAAGGTAAAAAAAATATTTTTCGCTTTAGCCAGCATTAACTTTATTTCAATTAAGTTTTCATTTGTAAATTATATTCCTTCTAGCGCTGTACCATAAAAGAGTTTGTAAATTTGTGCATAAAAATTAAAAAAATGCTGAAGAACTGTTTTAACAATAATATTTTAAGTACAATATTTCTATATTATTTTAAAAAATCAAAAAGTTCAATTTTTTTACAAATNACAAGAGAAAACAACTTTACAAGAGCAGAATGATATAAAACAAACTTTTGTTGAAAAATCCCTCTGCTTTCTTCCCTTTTTGTAAATTACCTTCAAGGACGATTACTGCCACACCTTCCCCATTGTGTGTTATTTTTCGAAAAGGGGGAAGAATCTCTAACTCGTTTCACGGGCACTTCGGGCGTTTTCGGTAGTCTAGCTTACGAGGCGTCTCGGCCGTTCCGGTCGCGAAAGTGTTAATGCGACCCTTCTATTATAATGACCCATGGGGGTATTTTAGGTGCCCAATTTTTGAGGGGTACAAAATTAAAATGGGTCCATTACACTAAAAAAAAAAACTAAACTCAGTGGCGCGATAGCCCATAGAAGGCCTACTGTGCCCATCTCAGTTTTCTTGACCTTGGGCTCTGGGGTGCAGGAGCAGACGTTCCAGTTAGGTGGTCAGCCAAACGCGGAACCCCCAGTGTTTAGTTCCCAAGCATGCTTGGTACTCATTTATTGACCCACTGAAGGGATGAAAGGTTCAGTAAACCTTGCCTGGCCCGAGGATCGAACCCAGGACCTGTGGCACGGGCGATTTGCTTGATATTATCGTCATAAAGGCTCCTATTTCTCTCGGACTCATTGCTGGACACTCAAAGATGCTAAAAATCCATTAAAGGCAGAAGTGATTCAATTTTTTGACTCTGTTCTCCTGGAGTAAAACTTCAAAATCAGGAAAAAGCACTGAATGACTGACTTAAGTTTATTCGCATTATTAAAATATGTCATTTGAAAAAATTTAACTGAGTATTTGTTATTTTTATAATTTTATTTAAAGTGCAGCATCTGAAGTCCAGTATTTATGAAATAAATACTGAACTTACTATAGCAAAGGACTTATTAGTGCAAATAAAGTAAATATTTGCACTAATTTTATGTAGTTGTGACGTAGAGGCCTCTCATTGTAATGTCTGTTTTTGTTTGAACCACAGAGGTTGTTACTTCGAGCATAGACTGTATTCTTTTGTTTATGTGATTCCAAAACTTTTCTTTGCATAAAATAATTTCTGATGCTAAAGTAAATAATGTAAAATGTTCTTCTTAGAGTTGGAAGATGACGTTCCTCCTACGAGAAGTGTTACAAAACAGGAACAATCTTTGCTGAGAAGAGAATTTACCAACATCATGTACGAACACTTTCTCGCTGGAAAAGATCAGGAATTTGATTACAGGTTATAATTTTTTTTTATTATTCTGTCATTCTATCTTCATGCGTAAGAAATTTAAGATGTTTCACGTTTATTGACCGTAAATCATATGTACACATATTCTGCTAATTTAGGGGCCAAAAACTGCTGAAATAAATATGCATCGGAATGTGTTTATTTTCACAAATTGAAGAGAAAATCAAAATGGTAAATTCTATGATCCAAAATTTAATACATGAACAAAATCTAAGAAAACGGTTCTTAATTTTTTTTCATTCATTCCAACTATCTTTGACTTATTTTTTGGACTTTTGTCCACTTCCTAAATTATTGCTACTTTTTCATTTGGCAAATTATAAGCACTTTTATAAAATAAAGCTACGCATGAGCACACTATGCATATAAACTCCTGATTTTTCTGTACTTTTTTGCAAAAGATTCCAAAACATTTCACTTCTTTTTTAATTTAAGTCTCGATTAATTTTGGAAATATCATTATAGTGTTAATGTGATAAGTATCCTTCCTTAAGCTACTCAGAGGTCTGTCCAGACATTTTGTGAAAGGTTCGTTTTTATAAAAGTGTGAAAAAATGACTTGTAATTTGTGAATATAAAATAAATGTTAAGTCACATTCTTTCAACCAGGGTCCTGCTTTTGTGAATTTGTGCAAATAGGGCCCTTATTGCAAAAAACTTTTTCAAGGAGTTTTTAAATTGTAAATCGATACAAGATTATGCTCAACACTGTAAAATTATAATTAAAAGAAATTTCATTTTCAAAAATAAATAGCAATTGCTGCTACTAAATTACAGACGCAACATACAAATATTTGGTATTTAGCCTATACTGCTGAGCGCAGAATATTCATTTCGAACGAATAATGAAAGAAGTGTCTACCGAAGACAAAACTTAATTCGTTTACATCCATTTTTATTTTTTCCCCTTGGGAAGGGTTTATTCGATTATCAAAACAATAATGAAGATAAACAAATTTGTGAAGGGTCCGATTAAAAGAAAAATCATTTTGTGAAGGGTCAGTTTTTATGAAATGATCTTTTGTGAAGGGTCCGTTAACGAAGCCAAATTTCTTCTAAACAGACCCCTGCTACTTGTTTTTTTCTTCTGATGTATCTCCTAACGATGAGTCCCGCACTGGATTGAAGGCTAAGTCACAGTTCTCAGTAGAATTCTGAAGTCAAGCATCACTAGCTGCGGTCAGTAAGCGGGTTGATGACCATTTTAATCAGCCTGCGTAGGACTCACCTTCAAGTGCAGTTTGTAGAGCTACCAAAATGGAGGAGACCTTCCCCCTGCAGAGGATCAAAATTGCGATGGCATGTCTTCGGATCCCATTACAATAGCCCATTGTGCAGCTCTAGTGTGACTTAAATTAAATACCTAACTAATGAAGTTTACTTGATTTTCAGCAAGATGGTGTTGGCAATACCTCAAAAACAAAACAAACTTTTTATTATCGAACATTTAAGTCCATTCGTTTTAATTAGAACTGTCGATCATTGGAAACTGTTTCAACCATTCTATAAAAATTAATGCAACAATATTAAAGTGTAATGGTGTTATTGTTTTCAATGAAAATATTCATAAACTTGAGTGAATACCTTTTAACAAACCCAAATCACCTATTTGGGATTATGAACTTCTTTTGGAATCTCATCGAATATTTTGGATTCTTCCTAATCTTCCTCATAAACTTCTTCCTCATAAGTATCACTTTCTTTTGAATTCATTAAATGAGGTATCCAATCTTATGGGAAGATAGTTACTTCTTTAGGAGTGGAGAACTCATTTCAAACAATTTGTGTCTCATTAAAGCTGCAAGAAATGATTTATAAAATTATTCAGGAAAACTTTTTAAAAATTCATGACAACATAAATTCTTCAAAAATTCGAAGGATTTTTTTTTTAACTATAAAATATTTTTATTTACATCACGTGCTGTTGCCGTTTGCAGGAACCCTATTACTTGTGTGTCTTATTTTATTTATTTATTTTATTTCTTTTCTTACATTTCAATAATATATAATAATGTGCTTAATAGCTTTAAAATGAGGAAATTGGAAGTCAATATTCTGTTTTAACACATGGCTCGATATCTTACCTTAATACTGACCCATAATATTTATATTGGACCATGTATTATATTACCGGGTATTAGTGTAGCCTACCAGAGGAAATAATTATGGGCTTAATAGGGGGCTCACAATGTTGCCGTATAGGTTACTGTGTATGTATATATATAATAGTGTGTTGAATGGCGTTGAAATGATTGTTGCTCTTCTTATTTGATTTCATTTCATTTCATTGTTGTGATACCTACTCTTGTGCCTTTTGACTTTACATTCATGTCATCTTACATTTAAACTTCATGATTGTTTTCCCTTCCCTTTTTTTTTAAAAGAGTCTTTTTATTTATTTTACAGTTCTGTGGACAATAATGATGATTATGACTCAGTTGATCAGCGCAACATTGATGAAGAAGAAAAATATTTTGACGGAGATTGAAGAAAAATATTTTGAAGGATTCATATTATCTGATTAAATTTATTTTCCAGTTTTTGGTACACACTATAACATCCATGTGACTTTTTAACAGCTGATAAACTCAGTATCTCTTGGATAAAAAGAAATAAAAATTATAAAGTGATCTGTAAGAAAAGTTCTGAAAAAGAAATGCTGTTTTTAAAACCATTTCTGGTGAACATAGTGATACAGGTCAACGTAACAATGCTGTAAATTATCTAAATGATTGGTAATTACTCTAAGTTAATAATAATCAATTCCTTCTACGAATATGCCAACTGTACCAGTTGTTTTCCTCCTTCACTGGTGTGATATCTCTTGCTGAAGCCTTTGCATCACAGTTGAATGTTGTTAAGACGAAAGCGCTTAACACTAATTTTCACTCGAGACAAACGGGGACAATTTCCCCGATCTCGAGAAACAATAATTCAGAGGAATCTCGATCATTCAAGGTGGATCGAACTCAGCCTTTCTTGGATTTCAAAAGCTTGAATTATAAAAAAAAATACCAGGGCTGGAAAAAATCCGGATTTCCGGAAATCAAAGATCCAGACGTTTAAAAAAATCATTGATCACAGAAGTTTCCGGAAATCAAATTTTTAAAGGTTGAACTTAAAAACTCAGTTTATTTTATTTGTTTGTAAGGGAGAGCCAGAGAGATACTTTATAAGCTTATATTCATGATTAATATATTTTTTTTATCAGTAAATAGTTGAGATAATCATAAACTCAAGAAAGACATATTTGTAATTCTCCAGGTCATCATAGGTATGTGTAAATGGTATAGNGAGAGCCAGAGAGATACTTTATAAGCTAATATTTATTTTTTATCAGTAAATAGTTGAGATAATCATAAACTCAAGAAAGACATATTTGTAATTCTCCAGGTCATCATAGGTATGTGTAAATGGTATAGGCATGTGTAAAATTTTAAATATATTTTAAATAAACTAAGAAATATTGAGAAAAAAAGAAAAAAAACCTTGTTTAAATTGTTTTCAATTTAAACTGTTTTTTCTTTTTTTCTTTTACTCAAGAAATTTTCCGGAATTTTGACTTGGGCTCACAATCACCACTGTTCAACACAAACGGGGACAATTTCCCCGATCTTGAGAAACAATAATTCAGAGGAGGATCGTACTCAGCCTTTCTTAAATTTCAAAAACTTGAATGATCAAAAACAAAAAAAACTTTTAAATAAGTAGTAAAGTTAAAAAAAATTTAAATAAGTAGAAACAAAGACATTTTTAAATTTCAGTATTTAATTAAAAAATATATTTAAAGAAAATTTTCTTACAATAGAGGGTTACATTGTATTACTGCTGCATGAGGTTACTTTTGAAGTAATTCTCTAATGGACTTCCCTCAGGTCTCTGTCACATCGTAACTCTTCACTTCTAGAGTGTCTCTAAATTCTAATTGTTCATCACACACACTCAAGGTCTAATTTACTACTGTTTAGCGGTGCCTTCACAAATTCAAGAAAAACTTTCACAAAATACTTTTTCTTAAAATTTTATTTCTTTATCCTGTAAGAATCCGTATTTTTATCCTATTTTTGTGTTCATGTTTTAGTGTAATTTTTAATTGTTCACAAATTATGTCCAAATATTCACAAAATAGGTACCTCTAGAAAAAAACCTAGACAAACCCCTGTCCTTCCTTTACCATTGTCATGTTGGTGTTTTCGCATCCTGGAATTTTTTTGTCATACTGAAATCCTGTTGAACAGTGATGTGATCGCTAACTGTAAATTTGTTTTTCAACATTCAGTCGTAGTAATTGTCATGAAATCAAATGTAGTCATTACTTCCCTTTTGTGAGTGTGTCGGTCATTATTTGGGAACAGGAATGATTTTTTCTTCTTCACTAGCTCGGATTTTTCGTTAGACGTGAATAATCGGGACTCTGCTGTAATTACATAATTTAATACAAGCATGAAAACAAACTTCTCCGCTTAAGATTAAGTGAGTATTACATCTTATAAAAACAAATTCCTTATGATTGTCAGCTTTTACAGGGTATCCGCGCACCTGGTAAGTCATGGATTTCGGTATTGAACAAAATTTGTCATGAAATGTCACGATTTTAACTATTTTTTAAGAAAAGTATGTGATTTCAGAATTTTTGTTATTATTTATTTTTTTTATTTTATCAATTTAAAATTCTAGCTGAAGCAAATCAGTCATTGGCGAATTTTTTTATTCCGAAATGAGAACAGAAAAATCAGGAGTATTTATTTCCTTTCGGATGAACAAGAAAAGGATCTTTAGAATGTAATTCTGCAGAAAAGAATAAAGAAAAATTATTTGCTTTTTCACTTTTTTCAGCTATTTTATTGCTTCAAGTCTTTCTTTACTGTGTTTCTTAAATTTAAAATCTATAAATATGAAGATGCTGAGTATAACAGTTTTTGGTTATACCTATCATTTCAATGAATGTTATTACAGTCAGACCTCGATATAAGGTCACCCTAAGGGACATCGCAAAAGTGACCTTATAAGCGGGGTGACCTTTTAACCGATTCATTAGCAGTTCGTAACTAAGCATATAAATAGTACACATTAAGATTTTTTAAAAAGGGTCATACGAACGAAAACGACCGGCCATAAATTGAATATTTAAGTCAAAAAATTTTAACAGAATTAGTAAAGAATTAAAGAAAGTTAGATTTTTAAAGAAAAATTTAATTTCAAATAAAGCTGCTTACAAATTTCCTCAAAGTGTACAAACGTACATTCCATCTTACCTTATTTAAAATAATCATTTATGCAGGTCTGTCTTGGTTTCATTTTTCGAACAATGTTTTCTAGACTTTGGAACTTCTCAAAATGTTCCTCAGCTCCCTCATAGTTCGTAAAAAAATTTCGTATGACATTTATTGTATTGAAGGCTTCTACTATTTAACTTCCTTACTATTTACAGCTACAGTCTGATGGTCACTGTCATTGTCCTCAACTTGTGAAACAATTTCAGAAATTGTAGCTTGTTCATTGGCTGCAACATTTTCCTAGAACTCGAGAGGGGTAATTGCCTTGTAAGGAAGTTAAATAGGCTTTTGTTAGAAAAGAACTTCCCTCGCCTCAGATAAAAATGACCTTATAAGCGATTACGATTTTTAAAACTTGACCATATATCCGATAATCTGTAACAAAGAATTCCTATTCAGTGAGCCGGGACTTTGGAAAAGTGACCTTATATGCGTGGTGACCTTATATCGAGGTCTGACTGTATAATACTTTTTTTAATTTATTGTTTTGTTTTTGTGGGAGAAAATAGTAACTTCGTTAAGTTATGAAAAATTCTTGGAATGAGTCATGGAAAGTCATGAATTTGAAAATGTTGCAGATGACCTGTGCTTTTAAGTAACCTTTTCCTTGTTGAAACAAGAAGTGAAGTGGGACAATGGATGATGTAACATTTAATGAGGGTGTGAGTATGGGGAAAAGAGAATAATTACATTATTTGCCTGTTGATGGTGAAATGCGATCATTTCATGATATTGATTGTATTGAAGTTCTATATGAGTGGTAAAATTAATGCCTCTTTGTTTATAAACTAAGTTTCGTGTGATGTTTTGTAAAAGGATTTTGAAAAAAGCTGTTTATGCACCATTTTGTTTTTATAAGGATATTACACTACATATACTATCGTCATGTTTATTCTGTGTGGCAATTGTCTTCTCTGTCTATAGGGTGATGTTATAGAAACAGGTACTCTTTTGCATTAAAAACTGATTATCTTAAAAAAGTTTTATTCATCATTTTAATTCCTTGATAGTTTCTGAAATCATCATAATCAACTGAGAGTGTAAAAAGCTTTTTGAGACCTGGTCTTAATGAGTTTGGGCTGCATTGAGTTTACAAAAATGTTGCATTAGAAAGTCATAATTAAATATTTTGCTAAATTTCTTTAGCCTAATGAATTTTTTTTTATTTTTAAGTAAGTGATTTGGACAGAGAATATTCCTAGTAAACTGGTGCATTCTCCAATTTTTCTTGTTCTTTAGGAAAGTTCTTGTCTTTCCTAAAGACTTAAAAAATTAAATCAATAATTATTTGAAGCTTTTTTATAGTCTTACTAGTAATTTTTCTGCTGAAATGATATTGAGAACATAACTTTAAGCTTTTTTTAATTTTATTTATTTATTTTTTACAAATCCTGCTTTTTAGCTCTCATACAAATCATCCTATTATTTTTGGACTTAGCATATAATTTTTATTTATTTATAATTAAATTAAGTGTATAATTTTTCTTTTATAATATTATTTAGTGTATAGTATTTTTATTTATTTACATTATTAGAAGAGCAGGTATCATTAAAAAACACAAACGTTTTTACAATTAGATGTCGTGCAATACCATTTTGTTTCTTTTTTTATTTTATAGAAATCTGATTGTCTAAATATTTATTTCATTATTATGGAAAATTTACTCATTTATTATTATTTTTTTAAAATAAATTGCTTAATCTTATAGCAATAAAGAATAACATAACCTTTTTTGGAAAGTAAGTTTATAAAAAATTAAATCTCAACATATAATAAATTTAAGTTGAAAATTAAAGCACATGCATTTTTTTATGTTTAATTTTAGTATAAACAACTTTAATTCTATGTTCTGTTCTCTGTTTAATTCTTCTATGTATATATATACTTTGTTATGTACAGTGCACAGGACAAAAAAGATATCCTGAATAACTTTCATTCTAATGATTGGATTTTCACTTACTAAGTATTAATATTGATGGTTTCTGGAGATGTGTTGAAATATACTAATTAATTACTGCTAACTATTAATTAAATTACAAATTTGGAAAATAAAACGTACTTTCTCTGAATAAAGATTTTTTTTTTTTTTTTGCACATTTGTCTTGCTGACCCTAAACATTGAGGAATGTAGACAAAATTTTGAAAATATTGAATCTTAAATTGAGAGGCTAGGCAGCTGTTTCTGCCTACATGGCGATGGTCCCAAAAAGCAGTCAAGCAATGTCGCTGCCGCCATTGAGTCACTCAAGATGACCATAGACTAATTCAAGAGAACAATACCTAATTTTGCTCCGTTGCTAAGCAACTGAGTTCAGTTGTTAATCGAAACATATGTCGAAGCTGCTAGGCAATAAACATTTTTTGAGCTAATTTCTGACCGAAAAGCAAATGTTGTTTTCTTTTTACAGGGTGCGTAGCGTTTGTAAAAAGTACTTAAAGGTGATTTTTGGGAGATTTCAATTTTAAAAGCTTTTAAAGGTGCTTTTTTCAGCTGGCTTTTTCAAAAAGTGCT